CCCCATATCGGATCCTTGAGGTACTCTGGTAAAAATTAAGAAAAACAACTATTGTTGATACTTTTTTGGAAAAAAATTAGTTTAACCTAAATCGAGATTTAGACCATTGAAAAGAAGCTGTTTCTTTAAAAAAATTAGAGAAAATATTGAAAAAGGTATAGACTCTTCATTTAGGAAAAAACATGTTAATTTTGTATTAGTTGTATTAGTTATGAATGTAGTTTACTAAATAATATAAAGTAGTCCCATAATGGATCCTTGAGGCACCCTGGTAAATATTAAGAACACTGACCTAAAAGATCTCGTCATAATTTGAGTTGTGAATGTAGTGTGCAAAAATGGGTCCAAAATTGGGTCCTTGCGGCACACGTAAAAATTGTTGAGTTTTGAAATTGTCAAAATTTGTAAAATTGGCATACTTAACTTGGATTTTAAAATAAAAAATTTTTTTTCTCCGTCGCTTAAAATACTCCCCTTCTCTCTAAAAATGAATTAGTCAAAAATTACTAATTTAATAGTTATTAGTGGCTGCTTTTTCTCTTGTACCATCGTTAACCAGGGGACAATTTTACATAGGAATTGGCTGTTAAATTTAGGGATACCCTGGTATTCCATGGTACAAGTGAAAAAATAACTATTAAATTAGTCATTTTTGACTAATTCATTTTTAGAGAGTACTATGTACCTATTATAATAAAGGAAGTACCCAGATAACCAAAACAAAAAAAAACTGCTTCTATTTTCATAATTATTTATTCATATTTTGCAATAATATCATAACTACATATACAGTATGTTTATTTTAACCGATATTCATGCACATACCATACTATTATCTATGTATACTTAATATGTATAATCATCTCAATTTTTGAATATATACAAAAAATTCATAATAATTGTTTGACAATTCATTATTACAAGTACAAATACAGTATGTGATCACCACGTATAGCAAGCTAAAGTAAAATTTTAAATTTATAAGTACTTAAATCATATTATCACATGGAATTTTAAGTCTACCAACAGAAAAATTTCTAGAACATTTCCGTCTACAATAAACAACAAAAATATTTACAAATATCCACACTTCATCTACAGGGTGCGCCAAAAAGACAAACCTTTTGATTTTGTTGTGTTAACCTTTTGAGCATCGGAGCTGTCGTATTTGCTACACCCTGTATGTTATATAACGAGGAACTGCACCATTGTTATATACATTTCGTAGGTTATTATTTTTTTAGTTTTTAGTTAGTTATTCAAGCATTCACAATAAATAAGTTTCACATTTTTTTGTTTTAATACGAATATCACTTTAACGTAAAGAAATAACTTTCAGTCAAAATATAGATTTTAAATGCGGGGCTTGTAAATCATTTAAAATATTGCAGGTTATAATTTTGAATAGTTTTTATTCGTAAGTAATATCATAAGGGCATTTAATTTTTCCGAAAAGAATCGAAAAAACACGTTGCTAAGTAATATTTTAACAAAAAGCATGAGTGCTGGTGGCAACAAAAATCCGAGTCGAAGAGAATGCATTTTGTTAAAAAATATTACTTAGCATTGTGTTTTTTCGATTTTTTTACAGGAAAAATTAGATGCCCGATTGGTATTTGACAAGACTATTTCATGAGTAACAGTTAACAATTAAAATATGAATTGTAATTTTTGGTGACAACAGCTGTCAAGTTTTGACTCGAAAAAACTGCTGACAGGTGCTGTCACTCAGTTTTTTCACCTAGAAACCATTTGTAATTCAAAATGTCGCGTTTGTGATTGGTGGAAATTAAGACGAGGGAAATGGTCATACTCAAAAGTATCTTAGTTACTTAAAAATATCTGAGTTACTTAAAAGTATCTAGATAGATATATAGATAATTTCATATAGTATCTTAGATACTTTCGGATAGTATATTATATACTTTTTAAAGTATCTTGTAACTAAAGTATCTAGATACTTTTCAGAAGTAACTTTTCCAGCTCTGGTTATAATGAGAGAAGTTGGGATTCAATTCTTCACCAAAACAATCATTACCTTTGTAGAAACAGATAAGTAAATTAACAAAAAAACATATAAAACAAAAAACTCATTACTTGGAGGAATGTAGATAGAATAATAATGGTGGTATAGTAGAATTATTCTTAAGTCAAAGGAGTCATGATCACTCGCATTAAGAGGAATGCACAGGGTCGGCTTTAGAACTAGAAATCAAAATTGCTTAAGACTGATCTTTCTGAAGAACACCTTCAAAAACAATAAAACCGGCCCTGTCGACTAAAAAGAAGAAGAAGAAGACTTGAAGACTGAAGAGAGATGGGATGTCTTTCGGCCCGCTCGAATTTATTATGTATGTGTTTATAATTCAGGTTTGGTTCTCGGGGTAGAGGATAAAAACGAGATAAAATAAAAGTCGGCGTTCGGTCCGTCCGTAAAGAGAAGCTATAATTACGGAAAGATTAAGGTTAGGATCCAAACAAATTTTTAAAGTGTTGTAAATTATATAGGCGGCCCGACCGTAATTTGTAACACCGAATAATGGTCTACTGTAAAACTATTAATTTTCTTATGATCCTGTCATGATTTTCGAGCGTTTTTAAATATTTATGTAAATAGAAAATTGTGTGTTTGTAGAGCGCTTTGATTTTTGCACCGCTAAACGAGTTTTTTGTTTAATATTACCACACGCCCCCTTAAGATGAAAATGTTTACGATATTGATAAGAATGATATTCTCTGATTGGTTTATTAATTTTTATATAAAGCATTTTCTATAGAAAGTAAAGTCACATTGTGAGTTTAAACATACTCACAGTTTACCCAAAAATACATGTTATAAGGCCCAAACTGTTTTATCAATGTAAAAGTTTAAAAAAATTATTAAAAAGAGCTGTTTCCTCAAAAAATTATAATAAATATTGAAATAGATATTGAATAGTATTAGTTATGAATGTCATTTACAAAAGAATCTAAAGTAATGGGCCCCATAACGGATCCTTGAGGTACCCTGGTAAATATTAAGAAAAACAACTGTTGTCGCTACTTTCTTGAAAAAAATTTGTTAAAACTGAAGGGAATTAATGAAAAAAGTCATGTACAACAACATTCATAGTAATTGGTCCCAAATTAGATCCCTGAGGCACTTAATTTTAATGAGAAAGATTAATTTTTACTTAGGTATTCTAATGAATATGCGGTAGGTTTCTGTAAAGATCTTTTACAAACACCATGTGTATCTTAAAGCAATTAAGGTACTGCAACAACAATTTCTAGGTACAAATTAAGATTAAAAACCTTTTAAAAAAAGCTGTTTCATCAAAAAATGAGAAAAATATTGAAAAAAGAAAGAATGTTTATTTATAAAAAACATGTTCATTTTGTATTAGTTATGAATGTCATTTACTAAAAAATCCAAAGTAATGGGTCCCATAATGGATCCTTGGGGTACCCTGATAAAAAACTTTTCATTTAGGAAAAATATGTTAATTTTGTATTGGTTGTACTAGTTATGGATCTATAAAAACAACTGTTGTTTTGTAGAAAATGTGTAAAACGTGAATAGAATTGATAAAAAAGTCATGTACAACAAAATTTATAGTATTGGGTCTAAAATTGGATCCCTGAGGCACTTAATTTTAAGAAACAAGATTTTCACTTATTCTCTAAAAATAAATTAGTCAAAAATGACTAATTTAATAGTTATTAGTGACTGCTTTTTCACTTGTACCATGGTTAACCATGGAATGCCATGGTATAGCAGTTTTTGAGATATAGTCAATTCCATATTAAATGGAAAATTGACTATATCTCAAAAACTGTTCTACTTTTTTAACTTTTGACGACATTTTCGGATTCAGGGAACAATTTTACATAAGAATTGGCATGGTATTCCATGGTTAATCATGGTACAAGTGAAAAAGCAGCCACTAATAACTAACAAATAAGTCATTTTTGACTAATTCATTTTTAGAGAGTAGGTTTTTAATAAATGTGCAGTAGGTTTTTGTAAAGATCTTTTACACCCTATGTATCTTAAACCAATAAAGGTACCTACCGAAACAATAATTGTTATATTTACTAATCGAAATTAAGACCACAAAAATAGCCTGTTTCATAAAAAAAATTAAGAAAATATTGAAAGGTTAATTTTGTATTAGATATGAATGTTATTTACAAAATAATCTAAAGTAATGGGTCCCATAATGGATCCTTGAGGTACCCCGGTAATGTTAAGAAAAACAGGTGTTCTTGATACTATTTTGTAAAAAATGTTTAATACGTAAAAAGAATTGATGAAAAAAGTCATGTACGACAAAATTCGTAGTAATGGGTCTAAAATTGCATCCCTGAGGCACCTAATTTTAAGGGGAGAGATTGATTTTTACTTAGATATTCTAATGAATATGCGGTATAAATATATACTAATTAAGGTACTAAAACAACAATTTCTTAATGCGTTAAACGGTTTTCTCTAAAAAACTGTATTCAATACGTATTCTTGATATCAATTAATCTTGTTCTTAATTCAATTGCTCTAATGGCTTGTTCATTGTATAAAACTAATTAAATTTGCAAATAGGCTGCATACATTTTAACAAAAACCAATTAATAATATCAACAATTAAACTGAACTCGTTATATTGTTATGAAATTAATTTAAATGATAAATTATATATTTGCCTTGCCATAAAAACACCCATAAAACGAAAACGTTTTTCAAGATTTTAATTTAATTTCTCGCATAAAATCCAATCGTAATTAGCGGCTTTATTAATGATGTTTTTAAACCCTTCTATAATCTGATTCTACTTTATTAACATAATTATTCCATTTGGCGAAAATCTAATTAATATCAGTGAGATATTTTTAAGTGATAGTAGCCCCGCATTTAAACACAATAAATAATATATATAACCTTCATACAAACCCAACTTCAAACGTCCTTCGGCACTCTACATCTAGTACGTACAAAATAAATATATACATTTAAATCACATGGTCCAGAACTTAAAGCTATAATTGATGGGAGACCCGAAACAAATCCTCACTGGCGGCCAGACCATAACTCTCGTGGTACATCTGCGACGACTGAATCAAGGCGGCGGGATTCGCAAACGCCGCCAAATCGTAGCAACCCGAGTTGAGCAGCCAGGCGGGATGCACGTGCGGGATCAGATGCGTCGCACTGGGTTGCACCGGCGTGATGGTCAGGTTGTTGTTGGAGGGTTTGTCGTCCGAAATCAGGCTTTCTATGGTGAAGGCGCGTTTTGGCCGTATGCAGGTGGTTTCTGTGGTCGTTTTGACCTCCATTGGTTCCACCGGGGTGAGGTTTGGGTTGCTCGGTACGGCATCTGGTGGTGGTTGGAAAAAAATGCGGTTTATGTTGGTCAACGCGGCGAGTTCGTTCTCCAGGATCTCCTTGTCGGATTTGAGGAGTTTGAAGCGCTTTCTGCGGCGCAGAAGAGACCCGTTCACGAACATATCAAAGGCGGCTGGGTGTAGCGCCCAGTAGGCGCCTTTTCCCGGGCGGTCAGGCTGCCTGGGTATCTTGATGAAGCAGTCGTTGAACGAGAGGTTGTGTCGCAATGAGTTCTGCCACCTCTGGGTGTTCTTCCGGTAGTAAGGAAACCTATCAGTGATGAACTTGTAGATTTCCGATAAAGGCAGCATCTTTTCGGGCGAGTTCCAAATGGCCATCGCCGTCAACGATATGTACGAATACGGCGGCTTCTGGTCGCCGTAGGATTCCCTCGACGGTCTAGGCATCTCAAACAAACTCAAACTAACAGCACTCCGAAAACGAACCCAACACTGCCGAGTTATCTTTCGACTAAACCCACAGGGAGCGAGGTGTGAATACCAACAGACGCAACGCCCCCTATCTGGCTGCCTCGTCGCCATTGGCGGTGGCGTAACAATGGCATGTCGGCGCCGCCTCCTCCGTTATTTCGGCTCGGCAAACAAGGTGGTTATTGGTGTTTGTTGAGGTCTCGCGGTGCGGCCAATAGCGCCGTATCCCTGGATACGGCGATGTAAATTGCTCTATTTGTAAAGAGTGTGTGTGTAATATGTAATATGGCTGGTTGATGTGCTTAGCTGGAGATTTATGCGATCTGTTTTAATAAACACCGTTACGAAGTGGATTTAATTATCGGGTTGTTCGACCATCGGTTTACAACGCTTTTTTACAGTACAGGGTTAGATTTGAATTAGGGTCATTTACAGTCGATTTGATAATGATGGGTCGCATTTTGGATCCTTGGGGTACTTCGGTAAAATCGGTTAGATTGACTAGATTTACATAGTTTTTTTCACTTTGATTAGATATCTTATTTGGTTTGAAGGGTTTTCCTAAATGCTGTGCTTATACGATATATGATTTTTATTTTACTCTTCAAAATTGGAAACTTTGATAAATGTTCACACCAGATTCTTTTAATGTAATAAAAAAATTTTAATTTATAGGAATCTATGTCAATAATTTTCACTTATCTCTTTTCAATAATTTTTACTTTTTCAATACAATAAAATCACATATTTTCCAAAAAACAATTTATTTTCACCCATAATATAACAAGTGGTGGCTGCAGATTTCACGAGTGTTATAATGAAGTCATTATGAACGCAAAATAGATAAAATAGAATTACTCTGTTAGAGCCAGTCCGTCCCTGCCAAATGTGATTAAAAGTGCCCATTTTAAGGAAACTTTCCTAGTAAACAATATAATAAAACAATATTAAATTCCACCATGTACACTCACAGGCAAAATAATCGATTCACACAAATTTTCGATGAATTTTAATCGCAAATAACTTTTTTATTTTATTTCTGATTTAAACGAATATTAAAGAATATTGTAGATAAATTAATGGACAATCGTCACATTTTAAAAAATTACTAAAAAATAGACGTACGTTTATAATATACAGGTTTAAACAAAAAGATGTTTTTTACCATAAGTTTAAGACACTCTGTAGAGTGGCAAAACCGTATATTGTTCTAAATTAAGTTTTATTTATCAAGTGACATCTATTTTTTACAGTTTTGTTTTTGGTTCACCTTGATATATCTATTTTTGTGGAAAATATGGAGTTTTTTAATAAAACATTGCAATTTCCAATATTTTTCCTGTATGAAGAACTAAGGTTGCTATGGTCCATCCATAGCCTATGGAGGATGACAGTGACAGTTTTGTTGAATCATACTTGGACATGTCATATGCAACTTTAAAAAGCTATCAAATTGTTTTTTGTAAATTATTGTGTTAATTTTGAGGTTGGTTGTCTTCTTACTTTTAAAAATGTCTCCGACTGATGTTGCCCTTTGTACTTTACTTCTTGTGACGTTTAAAACACTTGCCACGTAATACTGTGACCGTCCATCCTGGATTAAATTAATGGCTCTGGCAACATCAGTCGGAGACATATCCATTTTTTAAAGTAAGAAGACACCTCAAAATTTAAACATTAATTAGCAAAAAACAATTTGATAGCTTTTGAAAGCCGTGTCTAAGTATGGGATGATTCAACAAAACTGTCACTGTCATTCTCCATAGCCTATGGATTTCCGGATACCCTGTATTTAAGCAATGTACAATGAATTTTTTCCCTAAATATCTGTAATATTAGATATTAAATTTTAACTTTAACAAATGCTATTCAATTGATTTGTCAAAAGTAAAAAAACATTTTAAGATTTTATTTTATTTGTGTTGTATTTAATTTTTTATAACATGTTTATTTTATAAAAAGTATATACTGTTCATTTAAATAAAAAACATTTTTATTAGTTATTGGTTTAATTTATCCTCGTTTATAAAGCCCTCTTCAATTTTTATAGTCTTCTTGAATTACTGCAAAAATTATATCAAATTTAGGGATATTTATAATGTGTAAAATATGTTAAAACTTAGGTATGCAATGACCATATGGTAACAACTGAAAATATAAAAAAATATATAAAATTAACGCCATTTTTGCAAAAAATATATAAAGCTATTATTGTACTATTAAGGCTCTCTGCCATTTGTCAGTTGTTTCTAACATTTCTTATTAAAAAAATAATAAATTAAGACAGCTAATATATATATACAACTAGATTCATAAATAAGAACTTAAAATAACAAAAATTAATGGAACATTTTTCAATTAAATATAAAAATATTAATTGATTAACTAATTAAGGTTAAAAGTTAGCATCACACTCTATAACCCCATCTTTCCATCATATTGCAATATATTAATAGTGAAAACTTGTATATAGGTATTTTATAGGTTTTGTATGAAACGGAATTATAAAACTAAAATGAAATAACAGTAGCTTAAGCTACTCATGCTACTCTGCAGTACTAATAAAGAATGTCTATGAATAATTTTTTAAGCGTGGCAAAACCTTGTCTACTTTGTTATAAAATATAAAATGCACTGGAGTTTAGTATTACATATAAAAGAACTCTGTAAACCTGCAGGCAATGGTATCGCTATTGTTATTTTGCGCGTTACAAACAAGCAGCGTTTGTTTTTGAAGGTTATCTTTCGTCACAGCATTTACTCGGTAAGTATTTGCAGTATTAAATGTTCTTTTTCATGTAAAGTAAACCAATTTCTTTCTTTTTAATAAATGCAATGTTTTATGTGCATTTATTGTGTCACTTGGAAAATAGATTGTTTTATTGTAAAAAATGTCTTCGTCTCTAATTAGTTTTTATAAGGTAATTAATAATACTATAAATTATATATATTTATTGTAGAATAAGATTTATATTTGTATTTATTTATACTTATTTACCATTAGCTATGTGGATACCATCAAGAAAATAATGTCTTTGGCAAAAAGATATTTTTAAATCAGTGTAAAATTGTCTAAAAGATTACAGTTATTCCAATAGCTATAGCTATATATAATTAATTTTTACTGTAAAATCGTCAATTCTATTGAATACCATTAACCATCTGAACGTTTCCTGATTTTTTGATGATACAGAAAGAAGAAGCGTTTAAAATTAAAATGATTGCTTGGTGATTAACATAGGCTTCTTAATAAGACCGAGCTCAGCAGCGAACAATCGAATCTTAATGAGTATGCAGTAATGAGTGGAATCAATAATTCGAGAAGAAGAAGCATCGGAAATCGGGGGAAAACGAGAAAAACAGTTAAAGTTCAATAGAAGATGCAGGAACGGACTATAGTCTTATAAACATTCAGAAATATTGCCATTGGAATTTTATAAGTGAAAAACTTATTAATTTTTAGCACCTTTTGAACCATACTGTATCTCACAAATGACGCTTTAAAAGATACAATTTGATATAAACTTTTCTTCTTATTTTTGCGAGTATCAACTACCAAATTTTTACGATTAAAACCTGCATATATATTTTTTTATATTGAATATGTAGCAAAAACTGCTCCCAAATAGTACCTAAGTACATAATATGTATATAATATGATATTATCACGGTTTTGACAATTTGTTTATAATGTAGCCTTAGTAGGTACTGTCTGTCCACTCTAAGTTGGCTGAAGTAAGGAATTTTGTAGTTTAGAAATTAAAGAATTGTCGTACTGTGTGCTTTTAAAACAGATTTTATATTATAAATAATACAAGTATATAATATGTACTAATAATAATATAAAATCTGTTTTAAAAGCACACAGTACGACAATTCTTTAATATCTAAACTACAAAATTCCTTAGTTCCGCCAACTTAGAGTGGACAGACAGTACTTATACAACGTTTTTAATACCTTATTTATTAAAATACAAAACAGATTTTATTACTTTGTTATTCTTCAAACAATACCTACTTAAAACGTATAAGTTGTATACAATTATAATACCAATTATTAAAAGTATAAAGTGAGGTTAGATAGCTTTAGAAATGTCAACAGTTATAGAATTTTTAATCAATTTTATCACTACCTATACAGTGTGTATTAAAACGAATAGATACACTTAAATAAAATAAGTGCCAAACCCTGCCCACTGTGGTAGGGATTGAATTCGTTTGCTTGCCGTATCATTGTCGTACAGTGTTGCCACTTGTAACATAATTATCGAATTGTAACATACATTTTTCTAAAAACAAAGCTTGAAAATTATATGTAACATAATCGATAATTGTAACATAATTTTTAATCCAAGTATCTGGACAAAATTAACTTAACCCTTTCGGAGCCAAATTTAAATTACTGAAAAAAAAAATTTTTTTTTCGTTATAGTTGCATTCATTGGTATTATTTTGAGATATTTTTGAAAAAAAAAAAATTTTCATTATTTTTTTTCATAATATGACATATCCACTGGAATGGACAAAATTACTTTAGAGAGGTCAAATAATTATACGGTCATCTACTGTGTTTTATGTCTAGTCCACTATAATGGACAACATGTTTTTGAGACAAAATATTTAATATTTAAAAATATAAATGGTGTTAAAAAAAATGTCCACTCCAGTGGACATATCGTACGAAAGGGTTAATTCAATCCAGATTAATTAATTTAAGAACGTAGCGGCAAGAGATGACCATCTTTCATCTTTTCTTGCCTCAACAGCCACTCCAGCCAATCACATGGCAGTTTTTAGTTGACAGCCTCGCCTTGTAAGTTTAGTGTTTATGCGAGGGGCCGCCATTACCGCTACCGCTAGTTTCTGAACTATAAATCCAGCTTTATAGTATTTTGTAACATAATTATTACACTTATTGTAACATAATTATTACAATTATTGTAACATAATTATTACAATTATTGTAACTTAATTTTCCGAAAA